CTATTAATTACATAACTATCTAATATCTGCCATACATCGAAATACTTTATTCCTTAAATGTTTAAATTCAACGATTAATTTGTGTGGCAGATTCATCCAGCACATAACTTTCCTATATTAACACATACATATTTGTTCTATATTCAGCTATCTTATGATTTAATTTCACCCCTATTACCAATCTGTTTTAAAAACAATAAATTATATATTTTATTATTAAATGATAAAAAGAAAATATGAAATATTAAAGACTCATAATTAAGTATATCATTAAATAAAATAATAAAATAATTAAATAGCCTTTATCGTCAACTTTTGTGAATTCCATACATTCTCTGTTTAGATTAGTGAATGTTTTCTATATTATAATATATTTTGCGTATGTGTATAGACATGAATCATATTGTACCACGAATGGTGATGTTTTATTACAGCAGTTAATGTTCTTGACATAATACCAATGATGCTCAAAAGTTTGTAGAATCTTTTAAATGTATTGACCTGATATTACCATAAATGTATAAATTGGGAGACATATTTAATTTTTAAACAAATCACAATGATAATCCAACAAAATGAATAATGTATCTATTCTTATGTATTTATCATTAGGATTTTTTATGATAGATCTGTTAATCACAATACAATGAGTACTTCACTATAATTAATAAATTAGATGATAATGAATAATTTTTAGTCTTTTATCTTGAATGAATGAATGAAATTTTTTGCAAGGAATGTAGGAAGAAAATGAGTTGGAATAATGCTGCAGTTAAAAATAATATTTTTAACCAAATATTATTAGTCTAATGAAATGCTATACTGTTGTTAATAAAATTATAGAAAAGATAAGATAATGAAGAAAAGGATTTGCACGTTGGCACATTTGATATTAGATACAACAGTTATAAATAGTAGAACATAATGTTCCAAATGTGATACTTATTAATAGTACAGGAATATGTTAAGAAACCCTTAATTATAGCTTCCTATTCACACTTACACAAAAAGTGTGACAGTAGACCAGTCTATCGAATTGTATCACAAAATAAGTCAAACAAATCAGTAACAGATTGAATAACATAAGTATATAATAATTAAACTTAAATAACAAATGAAGTGTCAATAATTATCCTAATATCGTCTTGTTACTTCAGGCTTTTCATATAGGAAGAATATAAACATGAAAACTAATGGAAGAAAGATGTGTAAATTCATTTCTATATACAATACAGTCGTCATTTATACACTTGATTATAACGATAATAAACCATAAAATTAATATTAATGACTCATTCAATTGTAAAAGCTAATGCTTCTTATACTAAAATGATATAAGAAACCTTTCAAAATCATGTAATTATATTTAATTATTGAGACTATTAGCAAGTAAATATATTCTTTAAACTCAATCATACTCATGTATTATATTTATCATATGAAAAATATGTGTGTAAATCATATTTTTTATAGATAATATATATACTATGCCACTGTTCTTGACAATTTTTAATTCTGTTTGTTTGTTATTTTTTTCTTTCTTTTCAAATAAAATAACTTCTGGTAAATAAGTGTCACAGAAAGATGCAATGATGAAAATGCAGCTGGCACTTTGTAAAGCTGTAAAGAACATTAGCATAATGTAGACTTAATAATATATTCAATTTCTATATATCAGTTGTAATTAACAATACAGACCTTGTATATTGATTATCTAATCCTAAATTTCTTGATACTAAATAAAGCAGGTTTGAAAAAGATAGGCCAACATAATGTTTATAAGTAACCTGAGGTGTACTACAGATATACAAAAATGCAAAACGATTTAATGCTGACATAACTATAATATGCAAATCAGAAGAATATAAGACTAATACTAAACCGTTTTGCATCCTTGATTATATGTAGGTACAAATGGCTTATATCAGGCATTGTTGGTCACATTTAAAATAAAATTAACTGCCTATTTAAACATCAAAATTTCAATAAGACATCAGCATTAGTGCAATGGGTATCATAATTTATGATAGATGTTCATAGCCCTAACAATTATTTGACCAGGTCATTACAACACACCACCATTCACGCGAAATATCGAATTGTTTTGCCAATGTATGTTAAATGTCAAACATTACTATCAGGTTTACTACTATATCCCATTGGTTGAGCATTTTCAACGAGCGTTGATTGCATACTTGATGAAGGAGCTTGTGTTTCCATTGCTGTTGATCTCATTTCTCCCCATGGTGCCCTGAAATATATCATTTTTCTTAAAATAAACGTAATTATTTATTATATTATATTTTTTAATAGGATATTTCCTGCATTATATATCCTCAGAATATCGAATATTTATAATTATACATGCTTTATTAAATGTTGCTATAATGCTTGTATCTAAGTAGATATTTCTTTTTATTAGATATAGCTGTAATAAATGAATTGCTTAATGCACTTTATATAAATAAGCATGAATGCCATTACATAATCCTCAAAATAAAATATAAAGAACCAGAAGATAAAAATAAAAATACCTTTAACATATAATCCTTGATATGCAAATATTAATTAATTTTTTGTGATTTTTATCCTTGTTTAATAAATAAAATAATACCTAATAGCTGCATAATAAATATAATGTAAAAATACATTGAAAATGTAATGATTGAATATTAGTTTATGATGATGAATCATATGCTAGTTATCAAATTCAATTGCATAAAATAGAAAGGTTACGTAAGCAGCATATAAACAAATTAGCAAACAAGACAAGCACGAATTCTTCACTATGAGACATATAGAATTAGCTAATGATGTACAACTTGTATGCTACAAGCTGCCATATTTACGAATGCGATGAGGCTATTCACATAGGGATAACATTGAATTTTATATATTATTGCCTGGTTAGTGAAGTGGTACAATGAATATCTGATGTTTTATGTAGGCCTCCAGACATCAGGATCCTCCATGAGTGTGGTATGGTGATCTGTAGTAGGAGGTACTGTACCCTGTGGGGAGCCCACACCCGACGACGTCATTCCTGTCGGGTCGGGCCTGGTTCCTCTGTTATTGTGTCAGTTCATTAGTAAAAATATTGACACACGTTCTTTCAATTTGTATATATATAAATACATATATATAAATACATATATATAAATACATATATATATATATATATATATATATATATATATATATCTTTCATTATTTTCAATATTTAAAAGCATTAAAATACGTTCACAAAAATGCTCTACATAATTTTTAGTCCCCAATATAATTTTAAACTTTGTATGAGTTATCCTGATTTTAAACATACATTTACAAAAACCAAAGCAATAATTTCAATGAGCGCAGGTAAAACCAACACAGTGATAAAAATCCATCCATAAGCAAATTATATGTGCATTGTTTGACGCATGAATATCCCAAACTTTCTTTCCCATTATTGAAAGCAAATACAAATGACAATGAAAAAGATACACAAGAAATTATAATAACTTTGAAATTCACAAAATCTGAACCTTTTGTATCATTTGTTTTGTTACTTTGATGTCAATTATCGTATACTCGATTATATATTATTTTACAAAATTTGTGTATAAATATGATATAATTATGGTGCCTATGTAATTTATAAAATAATACTTAATAATGCTTAATAATCTTTACTTACTTTCTTCCAACTGACATTAATCCATATATAATACCAGTCGCGAAAATAAATCCGCTACCAAGTATGCTTTCTATTTTTGGACAAAGGAAGACAGGTGGCAATGCTAATCTAAAATAATAAAAAATACACGACGGTATTATCTGAAATTCTAAAATTGTTATCAATGAAATATTATTGTAAACAATAATTAAGAATTAAAATTTATATTATATATATATATATATATATATATATATATATATATATGTATATATATAACGCTTACAAACAATAAGCTGCTGCTCTATTCCAATAAGGTTTGCTCTCCACCATATCGCTTAAGTTTTGGACAAAATCGATGAACATACAACAACAAGGTGCTTCAATCATCAGAACTATAAAACCAGCTAACATCTGCCATATACCGCTAAGAAAACAGATTATCGAAGCAAATAAAATCGATGCACAATTCCAAACTCCCAGAAAGATTGCGACTGTAACAAATATAAATGTGATTGTATCGTGGATACTCATACTAATATAAAAATAATATATAATATTCTATTTGGAACAACCTAAAAATGTATATCTCTTTCATAAAAAAATAATTACTTGCAATAAGTGAAATTGATATATATAATATAAAATCAAGCTATATTAGAATATACGAATGAAGCATTATAAAGGACAAAAAAAATATATAAAAACTAACTGAAACCGCCTACAGTGCCGAGCCCTCGCGCAGCATACTTCATCCACCAGGGAACATCGTCCTTAGCGACAGGATCCTGGCCAGGCCTTTGCATTATCGATGCAATTTTTTCACCGAACGACTACGAATGAAACGAATGGTATTAACGGGAAACGTAATTAACATAATTATGACCCATTAAAGAATCTTCAGATTACAGAAAATTACCATTTTTATTGTACTAGGTCCACTTCTTTCGTCAACTGACAGCACTGACAATGCCGCTGAACTCTGTTGATGTAGAGAAAATCGACCCGTGAGATACTTCTCTATATCACTATGTGTGTACGTGTGTGTGCTCTATCTTATCCACGATTCAAGTAGAGCAGTAAGATAGGAGTGTGACTTTACTTTTTACGAAGTATCTAAAATTAACAGAGCAAGATAAAAAAAATAGAGAATGAATATTGTAATGGATATGATTAATTCAATGAGATAAAATCTAAACGATTTTATCGAATATAATCTTCTTTATGAATATATATTTATAATAATAACAAGTTCGAAACAAATGTATGATAGGATAGTTGAACGGAAATCGTTCCAATTGCATTCAATTACTTGCGGCGCTGAACCGAGCAGAACGCTTAGATGAGCATGTGTGAGCCTACGTGAACTAGTGTGAGCTCGTGTGAGCGGTCGGCTGTCCGTATACACCTTGACTTTGCGTTTCCTATGCACTCTTGTAATTTCCTCTCAAGAAACAGTGTAAACATTAAAAACATTATTGCATATAATTTATTACCAGTCGAAATTCACGCGCACAAATTTGTAAATATGCCACAATACACAGGTAAAATATATTTGATATTGAAATATTTATTAAGATCTAACCTCATTATACATGCAACACTTTATTCTTTGTCAAATTTATGACGGTCATCGTTATATTTTGATTACATTTTAATTACAGTTAAAGTCAAATGGGGCAAAGAGCTTTACCCTAACGTAGAAGTTAATACGGATGAAGAACCAATGTTATTTAAAGCCCAACTCTATGCACTGACAGGAGTACAACCAGAGAGACAAAAAGTTATGGTAAAGGGAATAACACTGAAAGATGATGATTGGGGCAACATTGGTTTGAAAGATGTAAGGAAAATGTATTATTCGTTAATTTATTCATATCTTTTATATAGTCATTTATATTTTGTAACAATAGGGCGTTACTGTATTAATGATGGGTTCTAAAGAGGAGGATGTACCTACAGAACCAAAAGAAAAACCTTTGTTCTTGGAAGATATGAATGAATCCGAATTGGCTACAGCATTAGATTTGCCAGCTGGTCTGGCTAATCTTGGAAATACTTGTTATCTTAATGCAACCGTACAATGTCTTAAAATTGTACCAGAGTTAAGGGAAGCTTTAAAAAATTATTCCGGTACTTTAGCAACCATGGGTAATTCCTCTCTTGCGCCTGCACAAAATATAACGGCAGCTCTAAGAGATCTTTACGAAAATATGGATAGAGGATCACCCTTTCCGCCTGTTATTCTTTTACAAATGATGCATTTAGCTTTTCCAAGATTTGCTGAAAAATTTGAACACGGCGTTTTCCAACAACAAGATGCTAACGAATGTTGGACTGAACTCATCAGAATGCTTCAGCAAAAGCTACCTGCAAAGGTTTTTTTAGATAAGAAATATTTTTTTCTATCAATTCTCTTTTCAATAAAATTTATGTCGAAATGAATTTACTACTGATAATAAATTTACGAAAAGGTAAATTCGGATGCAGTGGAGGATGATTCCCAGTCTTATAAGCCTGGATCATTGATAGAACAATACTTTGGAGGAACATTTGATACAGAATTGAAATGTATAGAATCGGAAGATGAACCACCTACTAAAGGAAAGGAAGAATTTTTACAATTGAGTTGCTTTATTTCAACGGATGTCAAATATATGCATTCTGGCCTTAGAAGTAAAATGCAAGAGCAAATTACAAAAATGTCTGCAACTCTTGGAAGAGATGCATTGTATACTAAAACGGTAAAATATATTTTATACAATAAAGTATCATTATGTATGAATGTTTTTTTTTTTATATCTTGATAAACATTAAGTAATTTTTCTATATTTTCAGTCAAAAATTAATAGGTTACCGGCATATTTAACTATCCAATTTGTTCGTTTCTTTTATAAAGAAAAAGAAGCCATTAATGCAAAAATTTTAAAAGATGTTAAATTCCCATTGGAATTCGATGCTTTTGAGTTATGTAGTAGCGAACTACAAACCAAACTTACACCTATGCGTGAAAAATTTAAAGAATATGAAGATAACTTGGTAGAAGAAGCTGCTAAATTGAAAGACAAAAAAGATAAAGGCGATGAAAAGTCGAAAAAAATGAAAGATGAACCATTTTGGTTTCCAAATGGTAAGTTACAACAAACATATAAATTGTTTGTAATAGTTATTAAGCTTTACATTAAAAATATTAATATTTATTTAACGTTTATAGATTTAGGATCCAATAATAGCGGTTATTATACGCTCCAAGCAGTTTTAACTCATAGGGGTCGATCAAGTAGTAGTGGTCATTATGTAGCATGGGTTCATCAAAAGAACGATACATGGTTGAAATGTGACGATGATATTGTTAGTATTGTTAGTAGTGAAGAAGTATTAAAGCTTAGTGGCGGTGGTGATTGGCATTGTGCGTATGTTCTTCTATATGGTCCACGAGTTCTAAAAGTACCTGAGACTGAGACAAAGATATGTGATGCTTCACCTACGGAATAAGTAGCAGTCTATAAATAATTTCTTTGGACGTAATTTCCAAAAAAAAAAAAAAAATAAAAAATAAAAAAAAAAGACAAGAGCCCATCAACCGATATCCACAGGGAATAGTGGATTTTGTACGCTGATTTAATTATCTTAAATATATGCTGCCGTGCTATGTAAATTATTCATGATATATGCAAAAAGTAATTGCAGCATTTGTTTTAAATAAAATATAAAATTACAGGGACGAAACTGCTATATGATCATCTCAAAATATAAGTCCGTATAATCATGACGTTTATAAATGCATTTTTTCTTCTTCTTTTTTTTTTTTAATTCTTTCCTTTTTAAGATCTACAACTACGACTTGTTACTTTATAAGCTAATCGAAAAGCAATTATTTACTGTAAAACGTTACTGTGTTCTTTTACGATGTTAAATTGAATGATCCGAATTTATATTTTATTGAAAATTATTACGGATCGATATACTTTTACAAACTGCTCTATAAAATTATAATGAAATAAAGCTTTCACGAAAATAATATATTATCGTATTTTACTTTTTTTTTTTTTCATTTCGCGAATAAAATACTTAATAATAATAATATGAATTATTTATTCAACTTGTTACCGTCAATTCAAATTTAAAAGTCATCTATATATTATCAATTGTCACGTGACCTTGGATCGATACGTGTAATAGACCAATAAGAATATGTCTCCTTTTAATACATAAATTCGTGCGCAATCGTGAAGCGTGAAATAACCTATATTAAAATTACGGAAAATTATAAATTATTTAATAAAAGAAAAAAAATAAAATTAAGTGAATAATATCAGGATAGAAAATGCAGGTACGAGAGAACTTAGAGATTTTAGAGAGTAAGAAAATGATGAAGGATGCACGTGAAGACGAGATAGAATTGGAACGGGAAAGGATCATGAAGAAAGGCGATATCGTACGATCCATACGACGTTTAGATCTAAACCGTTTAGAAATCGAAGAAAAGGAAAAACTCGTTTCTTCTCAAAAAGCTCGAGATTTACGAAATCGACAAATCGAAAGATCTTATAAATTAGCTCAGGAATTGGCACGTCTTAAAAGTACAATTTTCATAATAGTTTTTAATCACGTTTAATGAATAATAAATAATCTCATTAATTGTCTATCGATAATATCGATGTATTTATCGAAGTCGAATGCTCGATTCAAATGATGGCGCCAATTTGATTTGATTTGAAAATTGCAGATGAAGAAGCGCGAGAATTGCGTGATTTGAAATGTAAGAAAAAATTATTCAGATCTCCTACGGCTTGTTCTTTCGTTGATTTACAATCACGATTGTTGGAAGAGAAGATTAAAAAAGATTCGCAATCTATCGATATCATTCGACAATGGTACTTCGACGACACATTGGATAAAATGCAATTGGCAAAATTGGAAGAAAATAAACTACTTTATCGTGCCGATTTGCAAAATCAAATTATTGAAAAACGTCGTATATTGCGAGAATTTGATGAGGAGAGACAACGTGAACGTAAGATAATCGAACAAATGATCGACGTTATTCACGAAGAGGATATTCGTGCTGAGGAACGTAAGAAAGAAATTCAAACGTGTTTGCAAGCTGAAAAAGAAGCTACTTTTGAGGCAAAAAAAGTATGGAAGGACATACAAAAGGCTACGATTAATGAGGAAAATAAAAAAATTGCTGAGATCATTGTTGAGAAAGAAATTGAACATAAAAGACAAATGGAGAAAAAAGTAAACTCATCGTTAGTCACCGAAGAAAAAAAAAGAAAAAACATGATTTTCTCGTATTGAAATAAAAAGGATTTTGTTTCTTTTTCTTTTTTTTCTTTTCTTTTTTCTTTGTATAGAAAGACATTAGTGCAATGAGAGAAGCGACGACAGAAAAAATTGCGAGGAAGATGTTGGACGATGAGATTAAGATGAAGGAAAAAGAAGCCATTTGCAATGAATTATATTTGGAAAAAAAGAAAACCAAGGAAGCTGAAGAATCTTTAAGATTAGCTTTGGAAAAGCGATTACGCGCTAAAAAAATCTTGGACGAAATGGCAAGATAAACGTTTTCTTTTTTTTTTCATTTTAACCAAATATTTACAACAGTGATGTCCAATCTTGTTGGTTGTCCGAGTCACATTGAGTGAAGTGGCAAATTCTCTTGGGTCGCTAATAAATTACAAACAATAAAATAAAAGATAAACAAAACAAAAACGAAATATATATAGTAAATAAGAAATCTTTTTTCTTTCTTTTTTTTTTCTAGTCACCATAAAATCGGATTGGTTCATTACTGCTGCTTTTTACACTTTTTAAGAATATTTAATTAAAAATTTTCTTACCGTTCACATATTAGGTACAATATAGAATTGCCGCAACTGAGAAAAAGATGAAGGAACAATATATGGAGATAAATTTTACACATAATCTTTACGAGAAACAATTAAAACTCGATGAGGAAGCTAAACAAAAGCTAGAGGAGAAACGACGAAAGAGTATAAATAAATTCTAACGATTCAAAAAAAATATCTTCTCGTCATTACTATCAATAATTATTATATCGAGATTATTCATTTTCATTTCAGATAATCAATATGGTGAAGATTTGAGGAAAATTATAATAAATAATAAAGTTGAATATGCAATGAAATTATTGAAGAAACAAAAAGATATTCAGGACGAATGTGCAGAAAAGTCATAAACATTAATTGTAAGAAAATCTGGATTAAACAAAGATCTATATTTATTTTGGGAATTTAATAAAAATATCCGATATTTCGCCCATTATTTATTAGTACATAGGTATATATATATACACGTCGCACGGAAAGGCGTCACCTTTACGGCTTTTGTTATTTGTACAAAGTCCGTGTAAAAATACAGCAGCCCAATCTTATATAGATTAATAGTATTCGATAGATTATAAACGAAAGCGGTCTTGCCTCGTTTACTCTTTATCGTCATCGTCATCGTCATCGTCATCGTCATGGTCGTCGTTGTCGTCATCATCGTCGTTCGTTCTTTAACGAAATCGTATCTAATCGAAGAAAATTATTATATTATTTTATTTTTATTTTTTTCCTTAGTTATACGAGTTATAACGATCCTATTACCAAAAAAACAAAAAACAAAGAGATAAAAAAATAAGAGAATCAAAGAGAAAAGAAAAAAAAAACGACACGAGGAAGACCGCTCGAACGTTTCGAATGATTGATTCCTAAAAATTACGAAAGTGTGATTTTTCATCGATTAATTTCATTTCTTTCTTTCTTTCTTTCTTTCTTTTCTTTTAGTGTCACAATTAGAGAAAAAAAATCAATCAATTTCTCGATTAATATAATACATTGTATACGAAAGTGTTTTTAATTACGACGAACTAAATCGAGAAGACGAAACAAAAAAAAAATTAATAAAGAAATTTCTTCGTCGTTTTATAATCAAAAATTTATATCTTTTTTCTTTCTTTCTTTCTTTCTTTCTTTTCTTTTTTTTTTTTTTTTCGTTTACAGAGGCGTCCTCCACTAATAACGATATGCCACGAGATAGTAAATCTACGACGACTGTGTTACTACGTGAAATTTCAACACATTTATAAAGTCTCTGGGCCTAATTATTTCTACTAAATTCACCGATTATTATAATAATAATACGCTCGGCCCCCTATCGGCGTATCTCTAACAACACACGCAAAATTCAACGAATAAAGCGAATTTATACGGGGTCACGTTCGTATTTATCTTTCACGTGAAATATCACGAAACGATCCATCACAACTTTGACTTCCCTGTTTTTTATTTATTTCTTTTTTTTTTTTCTTTTATTTTTCTTTTCAATTTTTCTCATTCAGTAAGAAAATTTAATTCTTCTTACTAATCCTCTCTTTTCCATTTTGCCCCAACTCTTTCCGCTGCTCACTTTCTCATTCATTCTTCTTTTTATTTTCTTTTACAAGAACGTCTTTAAGACGATTTCTTAGTATATTCTTATTCCTATTATTATTATTATTATTATTATTATTATTATTATTATTATTATTATTATTATTATTATTATTATTTATTATTATTTATTATTATTTATTATTATTTATTATTTATTAATGGTCACTTTTTTGATCGACGCGCAAGTTAGGCACAACAAGCGGATCCTTAAAAGTGAACGGGAGTATGATACGTTTTTTTTTTCATCTTCTCTTCTTCATTTTTATTTTATTTTATTTTATTTTATTTTTTTGCGTTACTGGCCCTCCTATCGGAGAAATTCCTAACTGTAAAAAACGACTTAGCACGGATTGGTCTTAAAAGTAAAATCACATATCCTCGCGGATTAAATGAGTGCTCCTGTGTAATTAGTGTATGTGTGTATGTTCGTGCATTTGTGTGTATGTGTATGTGCAGCACTGGTCATGTAAAAGTAAAATCACATTTTTTTTTACGCTTTATGTATGTATGCATGTATGTACGTATATATGTATGTACAAAGTAGCCCGCATCTGTGTCACACTTAATGAGCAATCTCTCTCTCTCTCTCTCTCTCTCTCTCTCTCTCTCTCTCTCTCTCTCTCTCTCTCTCTCTCTCTCTCTCTCTCTCTCTCTCATTCTCTCTCACTTTCTTATTTTTACTTTAGCGATTACAATAGGATATATAAGCATTATACAGAATGATCCAAAAGTTCTTACGTGACACTAAAAATCAATTATTCCCTTTCAAGATTAGGATTGTAGTTAGATTGATAGATTAACAAGCTGTACTTGCAGTTTTACAATTTGACCAAAAAAAAAGAAAAAAGAAAAAAGAATTTGTTCTTTAAAGTCTCTCGAAAAAGAGTAATTGATTTTTAATATCATCAAAGGAACATTAGATCTATTCTATATATCCTCTCGATCACTCTAAACGAGACATTCTCTTATAAACCCGTATGCACGTGCGTACGTGCGTGCGTGTGTGTGTGCATGTGTGTGTGTATGTATATGTAGGTATGTATGTCTTCTTTTTTTCTTCCCCTATATATGTATAAAGTAACGATCGCGTACAAATTGCGGCACAATTTATGTGCTTTTCTCGAATAACGAAAACAAAACAAAAAATTAGTTAAATGAAATGAATTACAGTTAAAACGTCAGTAAACTTAAGTATTAACAAACATTCGATATTCGTTCTTCCTCAATATAAATTAAGTTTCTCGTAAATCATCCTCCTCCGATGAAATATTTGACAGCACACGAAATACATATACATATAAGTAATATAATTAAAGCAAAATTATTATTCTTTTTTTTTTTACTTTTAATAATCATTATTAGCACCCTAATAAAATACGGTAATATATGTCGGTGAGAACGAATGATATCATATTTGATTGTAAATTTTTTTCTAGCTAATAAGTTTTAACTTCAATACATCTGATATATATATATATATACCTTGTGTGTGTTTTTATAAAAATGGAAGTCACTGGACTGAATAAAACAAGTTTGCTAAACATAGATATAGTTTATAGAATAATATATATATCTCGATATGTAAAAGCAATGATCGTCCCAAATTTCCTATATACCTTTCACTTACTCGGTATAAAAAAAAGAAAAAAAAAAAAAAGAAAAAAAAGTTCGATACGAAACTTAGACCGAGCAAACATAAAAAAGGTTTATCTCGAATTTTGAGACAATCTGACAATTGGAACGAGGACGAGCAAATCATCATCATCATCATCGGCGCAAAGCTATTGTTCGAAGTTATCAGATATTTCGCTGATTAATAGGAACCATTAGGAAAACTCCATCGAAACAACTACTTAGGCAGTTTGAGGATAGTTCGATAGAAAATCGATAGAAAATGCTTTCGAATAGGAAACAGTCTTGGACAGTCACAGTTGCTGTTGTAAAAAAAAAAAATAAAAATAAAAAAAAAGAAAAAAAAGAAGGAAAAGAAATTACGAGCAAAAAAGAAATAAAGAAAAAAAAGATAAAAAAAGAATTATTATTATTATTATTATCATTATTATAATAATTCCCCTATTTTTTTCTTCTTTTAATCATGACAATCGCGATAGTTTATCGGTAGTATCGAAAAGTGTTTACGTTATCGACGATATAAAAAAGAATACGTAGCAAATTACACCTCATTTTCATTTCTTTTTTCTTTTCATTTTTTTTTTATTTTTTTTTTTTTTTTTTTTTTTTTTTTAAGAGGAAGGGTTTATCTTTTGTCTTTATAGGCAACGCTTCATTTCATATATAAACGAATATTATATAATGGAGAGATTTACATATGCTCTCTCTCTCTCTCTCTCTCTCGCTCGCTCTCTCTCTCTCTCTCGCTCTCTCTCTCTCTCTCTCTCTCTCTCTCTCTCTCTTTCTTTTCCTGAAATACAAACTGCAAATAAACGAACACTCTGGCATAGTTTTACAACTTCTCCTCTTCTTTTTTGCTTCTTTGTTTTTGTTTATAACTTTTTTTTGCTTTCTTCTTCTTGTTTATTTTCTCTTTTCTTAATCATTCAACTCCATCGATATATATTTCTTCTAGTCTTTTTAAAGGTAGATTTGGCCCCTTTTTATGAAAGAAGAAATCTTTTTTTCTTGGCTTGGTGTTTAATACTGATAATGAAATTAAACACCAGTATGTATGTAAATAGATAGTAAGTAAATAAGTAATAGGATCGCTAAATTTTCTAAAAAAAAAAAAAGAAGAAAAAAATATAAAGAATGAACAAATAAAAAAAATAAAAAAAAAAAAAAGAATTATCGCATTTCTTTCACCCACGTTCACATTATTATATAAATCTTGTTATACACTTTTAACACGTCCCTTAAATATCCATTTAATGGACACCCACACTCGATTGTTTTTTCTCAACTTAAACCTAACTCGGAAGACAAGGGGAGAGAAAAGAAATAGAAAAGAAAAAAAAAAACAAAAAGAAAAAGAATAAAAAAGAAAGTGTAGGTAGCATATCTCGTGCTATCTGGTTTTTTACTTATTGATGAAGATATTGAAGAAGAAAATGAGAAATTTTCTTTTGCTAAGTAATGGAGGAGAGTGATGAGTGGGTAGGTGGACGCAAGTAATTTTTAGAGATAAATTATTATCGATTTTTGGGGTCACGTGTCCGAGAATAGAAATTCGCTTTCAGAGAGCAGAACCTCTAAATCTGAAGGTACCGTATGTAGATCCGAATTAGCAGGCTCTGGCAAATCTCCACTATCGTTTCCTATTCCTGTAGGGGCTATCTGTCTGGCTCTACCGATTCTAACTCTGTCTCTTCTCTTAGTTTTAAGTAACACACCGGTTCTCGGCAATTTCGTGGATCTCGTGAGATTATTGTGTGCCGAAGTTGGCGCCGGCGGTGGCACTTGAGCCACTTTATCAGCCTTACGTAATTTCACGCTAAACTTGAAGGGTGGCTTATAGACAACTTGAAGTCTCGCTCGTTCCTTCCTAGCTAAAGTACCTGGCGAACTTTTGACCTCTCTCGAGTCCAGAGTTCTTCTTGGAACACCGGTTTGCCTTGATTGAGCCAATCTTGTTGCACTAGTAACGTTACCACCACCGGCCGTCAATCCTACAGGCGTCGATTTGCTTTTTGGTAAACCACTGGACGTTCTTGTACTCTCTAATCTACACTGAGACGAAGCTAATAACCAAGATCGTACTTTGTTCTTGGGATCGGCATTCGGTTCGGCTTCTTTTTCCGCTTGTATTGCAGAATAATCAATGACTTCCTTTCTATGTTGCTTCTTCCGTTTACGTTTATCTAACTCTGAATTACCGGGTACATTGTTACATAAATTTTGCTTCTCCCTCGAGTTTGAAGTCTTCTTACGTTTGTTATCTTGCATTACAGCCGCCGCTGTTGCTGCTGCTGCTGCTGCCGCCGTCCCTGCTGCTGCAGTAGTGGTAGTAACGGTAGCAGACGTTGCATTTGACGTTTCCGTTGGTCGTTTCCGTTGGGCAACTTCCTCGGTAGGCACTGTCGAGGATCTCCGGTTCGACATTTGTTTCTTTTTCTTTAAAATATCCTTTTTTTTGTTCCAACAAACAAATATCGTCACGAATCAAATTCATATCAGAGATAAGATATATAGTTAACAATGTTATTATTATATTGGTATTATACCTTGTTTGATTTATCGACCGAAGCAGCATGCGTGTCCTTATGCTTCCGGTGTCTTCTCTTCTCTCTCACTTTCCTGCTCAGTGGAAGCTTTGCACGAACGGCTGCCGGATGAACCGTCACTCCCTCCGCACCTTCCGGCGGCAACCGTACCGTTTCCGTCGTCGAGCTGTGGATTATTGTCACCGATTTGAGTTTCTGATCCGGTCGCTTGCCTAGGAGCCTCATACTGACAACCTGAATAAATTAAGGTTCTAATTAACATCTTTGAAATCCTAACAGTATTTCAATTTTTTTTTCTTCTTTACTTTCTTTTTGTCATGTCCTAAATTTTCATACCTATCTTGTTATATTTATGTGTACTTTTCTTTTCTTTTCTTTCTTTTTTTTTTTTTTAGTTTCTCGATAAACTATGAAAATTCTTTACCCCATTCTATCTACGATTAAATATTAAAGATTTATCGATAAATATAAATAAAGCTAATAATATTGCTACATAATAAAGCCTGCGAAACATTCTGCATATGCTTCCTACATTCATCTGTATTCTTTCACTTACTCTTTTCACACTGGACCGTTGTTTTTTTCCTCAATTTTTTCTGTCGAAGATCGTAGGTGAAACGTAAATAATAAATTAAGTGCCATGCAATGCGATATTCGTGTGCTCATCATCGTCGACGCAAAACAATTTTCAATTGAATATTTCCATCGTGCTTATTCAAAGAAATTTCTATGCTTACCAATAAAGATATAGCTCCTAAAATGATAAGAGCCGCTGCGTACCAATGATCGGCTACCCAACGACGTACAGTCGCGAGGCTTTCATCGGATAATAAAAGTTTTCTTAACGTTGCTAATGGGCCACTTGGATCAACCTTGACAAAAAAAAAATATATATATATATATATTAATTGGAAAATACATGACAAATTTTAAATTGTGATCTCACTTCTCTACACTTTTGAAAGACGTCGCAGTAACCGTTATAATCATTACACGGTGTTCCAGGTTTAGAGAACATATCCGGAATATCATACGGTGGTGAATTCCAATCGAAGGATGATCTAAACAATAAAATAACATTTTGTCAAGGATTTCTCATAGATAGAAAGAAGACATTTAAGAATACTCACAGACATGGTTGATTTTCACCCGGTAAACGACAACAGAGTTCGCAAGCTTTAGTTGGAGGATCATTAGGACCAGGAATACATTGACAAGATTCTAATCCATATGCAAGGCAGATGCTTCCGGTGCATTCCTAAAACGGAAAAAGAAAAAAGAAAAGAAAGAAAACAAAAACGAATAAAAAAAGGAACGATATACAAGATGCATGTTCAAAGTTAAAAAAACGTTAAAAATCGATGATCAATCTTATTACTCACGCCCATGAAGCAAACCAATTCACGATTGCAAATAGTTTTATTGGGTTTATTAATTGAAGGTGGACAATAGGGTGATCTACCGTCGCAGAAGCTAGCATCGCGACAACCGTTATCATCTCTACACTTATCACCAAACCTGAGATTGCATTCAGCAGTACAGCATGGACCCTAGGAGAAACGCAGAATAAATTTTCACGAAAGTCGACGTACTACTACTAGCGGCATTTCATTAGACTCGAGGATATATCAAGAAGAGACATATACTTGACTAGGACTGCACACTGAACGTGGCGTAAGTGTACATGGAGTCTCTTCTGTTGGTGGATAACGACGTTGAGGGAAACAACAAGTATCTCTACAATCTTCTTCCCATCCACAATCGCATTCCTCGCCGTCCTCGACGACTCCGTTTCCGCACAATGATACTTGTGGTTCTATGAAGATACAGAAAGTAAAGGATATAAGGTATGCAAAGATAAAGAGAGAGAGAGAGAGAAAGAGAGAGAGAGAGAGAGAGAGAGAGAGAGAGAGAGAGAGAGAGAGAGAGAAAGAGAGAGAGAGAGAGAGAGAAAGAGAAACTTCTATTGAATAATATTCTAGAAATGTTTATCTTCAAAGAAATTGATCAAATTCTTCACCTGTGAAACAGCCTTTTGGTGAACGAGCCTTACTGTTGAGCACAGGATTTATGGCGTTCAAACTACACGGACTAAAGCGATTGTTGTTACGCTTGTCGCCGCTGGTTGCACGGGCGAACATTATGAAATTTCCATCTTCACCGCCCGGTGTGCATTGTTCCGGATCATGCTGACGAAAGGGAAGATAAGTTTTAGATGATATTCCATTTCTTAGCTCGATCATTTTCGTGAAATATGTTTTATATATATATATATATATTTGTGCGCGTTGTATACCATAGTAAATACAAAGTTAATCAAATATGAAAAAATGGGAGTTGAAAAAAAAATATATCGAACACTTACCGGCGAACCAAAGTTGTGACCGATCTCGTGTGCCAATGTGACGTGAGATACCGCGGGTGGAACGTGCTTTCCGTAGTTCAGCAGGGTCACTATTCCAGTATTCAAGGACTTCATGCTACCACGATAATGCTGCAACATTATTTGTATGCAGCCTACGTTATATACTATGCTGAACACATGCCGTTAGAACGATACAGAGCCGATATTGCTTTTTGTGTGATTACATTTTCATAGAAACATGTATGTATGTATATATATATATATACATACGTATATATACGTATATAGGTACATACATGTTTATGTACCTATATACGTATATATAGTGTTCGACAGTCGCTTCGATATTGAAATATCTCTTGTCCTGAAAAAATATGGAATAAGTTATGCTAGGAACGAATGCAATATCGACCCTTTTTCTGATGATAACGAACGAACGAAGTGTATCTACAATCACCTTTTATACGAATATATATATATAAAATATATATATATATATATATATATATATATACACACATATATATATGTACATATTTCTAAATCTTGATGTATGTGCTAAGGATCAAACGACTATTAATTAAACGCAAAATTACTGGCTGAGTGATTGATAATGTATTAAACGTGTGTTGAAAAAAGTAATGTACTAATGATCCTAACATATAAAAAATATACATGCGTGTCTTTTTAATCTTTTCAATCTGATTGTTAGCTTCTAAAACGCAAAAGACACAACGTGCATCGATCTAAGGAATTTTTAATTACTCTTAAATGTAAATAAATAAATAGTAAATATATCTTGTATATAGCGAGTCTAAATCGAATATATAATTCGTTATAAATTCTGTGGAACATTGTAAAATCCAATCGTTAATGTATGTATGTATGTAAAATATGTTTCTCCACCCACCTTGATATGAAATTTTTTTCTTTTTTTTTTTTTTTTTTTTTTTTTTTTATTTTTTTTTATATATAATTTTCTTTTCTCTCCTCTCGTCGAACGACTTACCCCGTTCTTTTCGCAAACTCCTCCAGCGTTCTTCAAATCTCCGGTCCAAGCTAGACCTAACGTTCCCATTTCAAAGTCCCGATACGTGAACATGTACGCCAAACAAAATGCATCGTAATCCTCCTCTGAAACGATCAATGAATCCGTATTTTCCTTGAGGTTTTCATTTTCTTTGTTCGTTTATTCGTTCGCTTTTTTATTTTTGTTTTTTTAATATATTATAAACATTTTATCTCGCTAAGTGAAATATAATAATAATGGTATAAATAACAGAAACAAAAATCTGCTTACCGGAAAATAATTCAAGATATTTCTCGACACCGTAATTACCCGGAAATCGATAATTGAGATCCCTCAAAGCGTCCTCGCTATGAACTTTCACACGTTTTATCATGAAACTGATGTTATCCGGTCTACCATCCTGATTGAAATCTAAACGAGAAACAAACAAAGATATATCATTAATTCACAGAGCTATGTGTAATACGTTGGAAAATGCTTGATGAACCTTTGTTATTTTACTTTCACTACCTCTGTAAATGTATATATGTATACGCACATACACACACACTCACACATGCATGCACATATATATATATATATGTATATATATACAAGTATATGTATGTATATACACTTTGCTTATATTTACGCGCTACATCCTATTGTAAATCAATTTAATGCGCACGCGTGAGCGCGCTCTCGTGTAAATTCATGGTAGATCGATACTACGTGAAGTTTTCGACAGAAAACAATTTCAACGAGAGCTGCTGCACTTGATAATAGGAGGGAGAAACCCGACTACGATGGACCAGAGAGATATTATATCGAATTCCTATAATTCGATCGAATATCGCACGTATATGACGCGTAGACGACCGGTTGGAGTTTATAATGAAAATATTATATGAAAACCAATCGGTGTATTTTTTGTTATTTAAAAGCAAAACAAAAAAGAAACAAAAAAAAAAAAGAAAGAAAAACGAAAAAAAAAACGATATAAAATACAATAAAATAAAATAAAATAAAATAAAATAAAATAAAATAAAATATAGAGAAGAAAAAAGGAAAAAAGAAATAGCACAAAAATATCAAACTAACGCATAAAAACAAAAAAAAAGAAAAAAAAAGGAAAAAAAAAAGGATTGTATACAGGATATCCAAAAATTATTATCTGTACAACTTTTGTATTTCATAATGGACTATCAACGGATGATAAAATTTCTTGTGTCGTGTCACTTTAAAGAGAAACTTTTTTATTAAGCTCTTTCTATTTTTTTGTTCGTTTGTATCACGTTTGTTTCTTCCAAATAGACGAATTGATTGACCGTGCCAGATGCTGCAATTCATTGGACAGTCAGATATCTCATGACTCTGTCGGACTTTGATTTCTTTCTTAAAAGATTCGTCGAAGTTATTGCGTACAATATACGGATGATAGATATCGACAATTTAAAAGCAAGAGTTTCAGCTGACATTGAACGAATTGATATGGAAATTCGATGCATCGTAAACGACAGCATTTGAACTATCGATTGGATAATGTTTCGCGTATTCACTAATGATACAAATATCGAATTTATATATATATATGTATATATATATATATATATATATATATAAAACGAAAATACTAATTATACAAATTTTTATTTAATAATTCAGCATTCGCATAGTCCCATCGTAAATTTTATTAAAGGACAGTTATATAGATAATTTTCGGACACCCCGTATATCTGTCTCGTTGACAGGATATACCGAGAAAGTGCTCGTTCATGTTTGAAATTAAAATAAAATTTTGGAAAAGGGACACATACATAAACACATACGTATACGCATACACGCGCACACACACAAATACACAAATGTACATAGACACAGATATACACGAAGTAGATAGAGGTTCCTTGTGAAACTATTCTTTTCGCTTGACCCGTAAAACAAACCTACCCGTGTGTTTGTATATGGAGTTGACCTTCTGTACATGCCTCGTCATCACTTCGATGCAAGCTTCTTCCGTGCCATATCTAGCGAAAAACTGATGATCAGCTTGCAAGTAAAGCATGCAAGTTGTTTTTCGTGGATCGACTGTCGCACGTTTATGTAAATGTCTGGCTATTCGATCTCCGCTAGATCTGTAAATTACATATATATCAAGGAATAAAAGTAAAGGAATATAAAAAGAGAGTGGGTGAGGGGGTTTTAGGAGAGAAAACAAAAAGAATATTAAAAGGAGGAAAGATAGAAAAGAAAAAAAATTATCAAGTTATCATCCTCTCATGATAAGAGTTTACTTTTATAATCCGGTTAAACGCCGTGGCCACATTTCATAGCGAACGTGGTCTGTAACCGTGATAATACGAAAGATAAAGGATTAAACGAAGGGTAACTCGCGTTACGACGATTAAAGTGATGATCGAAGAAGAAAAAATGTGGATTAAAAGAATTTGAATTCAAATGCATTCATCTCTCTCTCTCTCTCTCTCTCTCTCTCTCTCTCTCTTTCTCTCTATTTCTATCTCTCTTTATCTTTCTTTAACTCTAATTATGCACATCTCAAAATAATTTCTAATTGTGCAATTGGGGTATGCTACACCCCAGGCACTTTGAATAGCTCTCATTTATACAAAATGAATAATTTTGATTCCAAAAAAATATTGTATATTCTTTGAAACCTCGGAAATAATAATCAGTAGATTTCCAAATATAATAGAAAACGCATTTCCAATAATGTCATTATAGAAAATATTCATTAATCATGCAATGCGCGAATTGTTTTAATTAAGCTCAAAGTTAAGCTCAAGTGCACAGCTAGGGGTAAAAAAAAAAGAAGCAAAAAAAGACAAACAAAGAAAAAAAAAGAAAAAAAAAGAAAAAAGAAAAAGAAAAAAAATTTTTATCTTTTTTATTTTATTTATACCTGTCATAGTAACGAGCTTCGTACTTCGTTTCCAAATTCAATATTCTCCCATGGCTTTCTCTCGAATAGAGACCAATTTTATTATCCAACAAGGGCTCGTAAAATCCTTCTGAACTATCGTTGTAAGTCTTGCCTCTGTAAAGAAGAAGAAGATTTTTCTTTAACTTTCATCTATATGCTAAGATAACCTTTCGTTATTTGATATACTTTGAAAGATAAGAATAATTTTTTTCTTTCTTTTAAAAGAGTTTGCTCAATTTGTTAAAAAAGAAAAAGAAAAAAAAGAAAAAAAGGTAAGATTAGATTTATTAGGTTTTAAACCGAAGTTATCACAAGAGAAATACACTTTATTTCCTTATATCTTCTATTCCCAAATATAAAAACGTTTAATGATAACGACTTAATCTTAATATCGGCTAATTTCTTAACAAAAGTAAACAAAATCTTTATTTCTTTTAATAGAGAGAATAAAGGAAACAAAAAGAGTTTATTCATATACAATATATATATATATATATATATATATATATATATATATATATATATATATATATTAATATATATATATATATATATATATATATATATATATATTAATTATCTGTGTATATAAATACATATATATACATATATATATATATATATATATGTATATATATATATATAGATGATCACCTATCAAATATGTCTCGAAGAGAGCCTTCGTGTAATTGATGACTCGCACACGGCAATGGATGCGGAGGCACGGTTACATCGGATGTACGATAAGCGATGCTATGGTAGGTTGGAGACGTGTCTTCGTTCTCATCCAGATATCTTGCAGTTGGTTCGATATAAAACTCTTCGAACTTGGTCGCGATCGTACCATCGAAGAGTCCATCGGTTGTCACCACACCCTGTACGACTGCGTTTTCATCCTCTGGAGAAAAAAAGGTAGAGAAAAAAAAGGGAAAAGAGAGATGAAACACAATGAATCGATAACTTATTTAACATAGCGCCCCTTTGTAATTTCCTGCGGTCTCGTTTCAAATCGTGATAATAATCACGATAATTGAAATAAAATTATTTTTTTCATTTTTACGACCTTTTTTTCTTTTTTTTTCTCTTTTTTTCTTTTTTTGTTTTTATTTTCTCTTTCTTCCTTTTTATCATGTTTCAGATGTTATTATTAATATGGGATGAGTTTAAAGCTTCTAAAACGCAATTTTAAAAATCGACTATCCTTTTCCCGAGACTTTTCATACGTTAATAGTCAAGCTTGTGGTTTTACAATCGGATAAAAAAAAAAAAAAAAAAAAAAAAGAAATTAGCGTAAAAAGGTCTCGTACAATGAGTAATTGATCTTTAAAATCATCCTAGGAACTTTTGTCCCGTCCTTTACAACAATATCGAGATTTCGAGTTCAACTCCAATGTGTCTCGTAAAATAATGTCGAGAAGAAGGGAAAAGAAAAGGAAAAGAGGAAGAAGAAGAAGAAGAAGAAAAAAACAAAAGGAAACAAATAAAAGTAAAAGAGAGGGCAATTTCTACTTCACAACTCATCCCCGCGAGTTTCAACTCGCGCGAAATAACTCCCCGAGCGCGTATAAAATATTTTAATCGTGGAATCCCTTATCCACGTTCTTTACCCCCTCATAATATCGTACTGGACTTCTTATGAGTTTACTTTCTGAGTTTCGTACCGGTAATACGACGGAGATTATTTGATTACACATAAAAAAAAGAAGAAAAAAAAAAAAAAAAAAAAAAAAAAAAAAAAAAAAAAGAAAAAAAAAAGAATATTCTAAACGAAGGTAAAATGAAAATTAATGTTACGTGTCGATCTACAGTATTCATATATATTCATTCATAAAGGTATTTAGATATAAATAAATAAATAAATAAGTAATGAAAATAAATGAATAAGTAAAACAAAAACAAAAAATTTGATAATTGTCGCAAAATCTTTCATTTTTTTTCAATGAAATCGACGTTTTTTTTTTAGCATTCAACGAAGAAAAAGTCGAGAAGAAAATCACGTTTTGACGTTTCTAACATCGGATAAAGAGACCAAAAGTTCCCGATATGATTTTAAAAATCAATTACACTTTTTCGAAAGACTTTCAGGCAAATTCTTTCCTTCCTTTTTTTTTCTCTTTTTGTTTTCAAATTGTAAAACTAAAATCCTGCAAACTTTTTTTTTCTATTCGAATAAAAATCAACTTTAAAAAGTCTATCGAAAATCATCTAAGAACTTTTGGATTACACTGTATAGAAGGATACGAGGTAAATGATTACAATGAGATTACATGAGTTTAATAAATTTAATGTAATACTTAAAATAAAGTATTTCTAGATTTCTTTTTTAAGTTAAGCGAGTTTTGCCTATTTGTCTATTTATCATTTCTCTCCCCTCCTCTATCTCTATATTCTTTCTTTATCTTTCTCGTTCGATTATAAAATTGGAACGAATCGATGACTTGTCTATTTCTCTATTTGCTTTTTTCAGAACAAGCGATAACTCCGTTTCCTTTCGCAATTGGTTCGAACGCTCCCAAGCGACTTCCGTTCCTAAAAAGCGATAAATTTCTAAAAAGAAAAAGAAAAAAAAAAAGAAGAAAAAAAAAAAAAAGAAAAAACTTTTCCCCCAACTTCTCGAAAATAATTCTTGAAAAGTTTCCGAGGAAGAAATTTTTCATCGACGTTCCCTAAGAAAAATTTTTCAAAAGAATTTAAAACGATCGAGTTTATCATCAACCATTTTCCATCTATCTCATAGTATGTATACATACATATATATGTATTGGAAATCCATCCCTATAATCGTTTTAACCTGTCTACCTATCAAACCCTCTTGATTTTAATCGGCATTGACGATTAGAGAAGGGTGCTTCTAAGCTCACTGAAAGTCTACATACATATCTTGTTTCAAAGAACGCGCTCGTCGCGAAAGGGGTCGTATGCTTTTCAGGGTAGCGAAGAAAAAGAAAAAAGAAAAAACCCGAACGTGAAGTTACTTTAAACGATAGGATCGATTTACTTGAAAAAAAAAAAAGAAAAAAAAAGAAAAAAGAAAAAAGAACAAACAAAGAAGAAAAAAGAACATCCTTATATTAATATTTTTTAAGATTAACATTATTCTAATCGCATATATATATACACATACGTACGTGTATTTTCTTAAATAACTTTTTAATTGTATTATATCCATTTATACTTAAAAGATGTGCATGATTCATTATATATATACATATATAATGTATGAACAGAAATATATGCATGTATGTACGTGCAGGATGACGACGACGTGCGTTCCCGTATGTTAGAGAAATATAGTGATATAGAACGTTCGTGACTTTAAAAATGAATTTATTTCTTCTGCTTTTGCTTGTCGAAACGCGTTAGAACAAGAAATGTAAATAGTTTTCGACATGCCATTGATTCAGGCATCATATATATATATATATTACATTTTAATATTTTATATTAATAAACGAATTAATCGGCGATTACGAAAGTAAGTGAAAAATTTATTTATATCGTAATTCGTATGATTAAGTCAATTGCCATGCGAGATTACGTAACAAATAATTTTGTAATTTTTGACGCAATTATATTACTTTCATATAATCAACAATAGAAATAGTTATAACGAGTATAATAATTTACTACGTATTTGACTGTTCCAATGTTTCAATTCTACCTAACACAAATAAATTTTTTTTTACATTTTTACATTTTTACATTTTTAATAATAATTTTTATTCTTTTGATTCCAACCGACAGAACAAACGATCGATTAATATGCTAAACATTTGTATACATACATACATACATACATACATACATACATACATACGTACGTACGTATGTACATATATACGTTTGGTTTTATAGACATTTCTAAAGTGTAGAATGCTCGTCGAACTTTGCGAAAAGCCAGTCATCCATCCATCCATCTTTACGTTTCAACAGGCGAGAGAACAATTAAAACCGCCTAATGACTTTCCGATGAAAGTTTCGCGGGAATTCAATCGCATTCTAGGGTCGTTCCACTTTCCATCTTTCTCTACCTTCCTCTCTCTCTCTCTCTCTCTCTCTCTCTCTCTCGTCCCTTTTCTTCCTCTCCTCCCTCTTTTTCTCTAATTCTTCACTTCATCTTTTTATTTTTCTTCTTCAAGGGACACTATCGAATCGTGATAGAAAAATTTCTCATTATTCGAAAGGAAGAGAGGGATTGTTCGGAAAAAAGAAAAAAAAGCAAGGAAAAAAGAAAAAGAAAAAAGAGAAAAAAAAAAGAAGAGTGAATCATCGAGACCTGATGCTTGAGATTAATAGGAAAGGTAAAGATTCTTCTATTCGTTAGCCTCGTTTTTTCTGTCTCTCTTCTTCTAAAGAGATAGATAGATAGATAAATAGATAGATAGATAGATAGATAGATAGATAGATAGATAGATAGATAGATAGGTAGAGAGAGAGAGAGAGAGAAAGAGAGAGAGAGAAAGAGAAAATCCGTGAGAAAATCCGACTAATTCGAACTAATTTTGCGCTTGCGACTTAAAGTACGAAGGGACCAAGAGAAAGAGAGAGAGAAAGAGAGAGAGAGAGAGAGCGAGAGAGAGAGAGAGAGCGAGAACGAGAAAGAGAGTGAGAGAGAAGAGAGGAAGGGAGAAGGGCAGTCCCATCGGACGAGCTCGGAGCGTAATCGATGCATGCTTCAACGAGGTCGTGGAAAGAGGCTGGATTTCCCGTATGGCTTGAATATCGAACAAGAGTACCGGAAAGTGAGAGAAAGAAAGATAGAGAGAGAGAGGGAAGGAGTGGAGAGAGAAAGAAAGAGAGAAAAGCCGTCAGAAACACAAAATGAGAAAATATCCTCGAAGATCCTCGAACGAGAGGGATGAACATCCTCATCCTCGGAGCTTCGTTAATTAGTTTTTAATCCTAATAGCCGCTTTATAAAATATTTTTTTTCTTTTTCGTTTTTTCTCCTTTCCACTAACACTCCTCTCCTTCCTCTCCGACCACCACCACTCCCATCCCTATTATATACTCTTTTCAAATCTCTACTTTTCAAAATCATTGAAATACAAATTATTACATGTACATATATGTGTGAATTGACGCCCCCTGCGGTTGGAGTTGCATTTATTATAAAATAGCATTAGGACGAACTACTTAAACCTGATGACTTGAGTTCTCCCGGGAGATCACGTTTTAAATTCTAATCCCTTTGCAAACAACAATAATAAAGAACAACAGTCTGATAATATTTATTACGACTAAAGGCAAAAAAAGAAAAGAAAAAAAAAAAAAAAAAAATAAAAAGAAGAAAGGAAGAAAAGTAAGAAAAAAAAAAGTAGCACAGAGAAGAAAAAAGACGACGCGTATGAATTTGATTAAACTGAAACGAACTTTTCCTTTTGTGAGAGGTCTGGTAATGATGTTGCAGCACCCCAGCGACGAATTCAAAAGTACAAAATGTTGTCCTAGATCTAATTTTCATATCGATGTGTTGCAGAGAGAAAAAAATGTTTCTCTTCTTTTTCTTTTTCTTTCTTTTTTTTTTTCTTTTTCTTTAATTTTTCATACAACAACATACTGATACTCGAACCAATTAACGTGCTTTTCGATAGGTACAATCTGAACGTTTTTTTACATATGAAAATGAGAAAAAAATGAAAAAAATGGAAAAAAATGAAATGAAATGAAAGATATGAGAAACGAATAAGAAACGTCGAAGTTATGTCGGTGATGTTGCGGTGAAACGAGGAAACGACTTAAAGGAGAGGAAAATGAGGATAAGACGAACAAATTTGATTTTCGTTGAAAAGTTTGATGACGACGACGACGACGACGACGACGACGACGACGACGACGACGACGACGACGACGACGACGACGACGACGACGACGACGATAACGACGACGACGGGAAAATCATGCAAGGTAAACGTTTGCTCATTCCCGAAGCATCGCGACGCGTCAGGACGACACGACGCGTCCTGCGCGAGAGATGGCTCCTTTCGTATCGACGAATACGTCGATTCGACGCAAATCGATTGTTAATCAACAAAAGCTCTTCTTTTTCTTTCTTTTCTCTCCTCTCTCTCTCTCTCTCTTTCCCTTTTATTTCAAACGTACAACTTTAGAGGCAGTTACACGAGGATACTTTATCCAGTGATTTCGCCACAATGTACAACCATTTGTTCGACAAAACAAATTAGATATCTTCGTTAACGAGCGAGAAATCTTTCTTTTCTTTCGTTCTTTTTGTTATCTCCTCATTTTCTCTCCTCATTTTCTCTCTCTCTCTCTCTCTCTCCCCATTTTGTATCTTTTTTCTTTTCCTTATTTTATTTTTCTTTTTTTTTATTTTATTTTATTTTTTTCATTTATTCTTCCTTTTTTTCAAACTAGTACTACACTACGAGAGGAATGATAGTCTAATAACATTTAGGGGAAAGGCCGCTTTGCTAGCACGAAAGAAAAGCTCCCTTCGTTCCAGTTCGTTACTGGACGAACGTGAATATAAAAAGAAAAGAGAAACAGACAGACAGAAAAAGAAGAAGAGAGAGGAAGAAAGAGAGAGAGGGAGAGAGAGAGAGAGAGAAAGAGAGAGAGAGAAAAGCAAAAAAAAAAAAAAGAAAAAAGGAATAGAACGAAATGAATTACTCATGAGTACTTTATCGATTAAAATCAATTATTTTCAAATACTTATACACACAAATACGTATACGATATACATGCGCGAACGAACATGTATCAATAATATTTTATTCTATGAAATATTAAAATATTTATCGAATATTATTTGTTTATTCGAAACGAGAGAAACTATTTGCAAGATATAAATTAGTCGTGTGTAAATTACGTTGATCTTTTTCGATAAAAATGTTTTTATTCGAAGAAAAAAAGACAGAGAGAGAGAGAGAGAGAGAGAGAGAGAGAGAGAGAGAGAGAGAGAGAGAGAGTGAGAGAGAGAGAGAGAGAGAAATATATTAATTCCTTTTTTTTTTATTGTAACACGATAATATGTAGTCGAGATTTTTCGATAATAAATCGCGAGTACGATGGATAAGCCGATAAATATAGAAGCGCGCGCATACCGTCAATTAGGCAAGTTTAATGGTTAATCGGATTAGCGAGAATACGCGTTATATCATGACGTTGTTACCGGTCAACGAGAAGGAGGGAGAGAAAGAGATAGAGAGGAGGGGGAAATCAACTGAAGAGTATTGAATAATTTGAAAAGTCGAGTCAATTTAAGTCGAGCTAAAACTTGCATATCATATATTTAATTATTACTCAAAATCTGCATCATTTCCCCCCTCTCTCTCTCTCAAAATCAATATTCGCTGATCGGTTGTCTGAACGATGATTTTCCGAATTTCGTACATGTAATCAACATTTATGAATTTTCGTTAATATAATTCTCATTAGCTCTTGGTTCTACGACTTAATTATCTCTCTTCAATTATGTTCTCCAATATGCTATTTTATTATTTAATAGATCAATTGAAAATAATATTTTAATCTGTCGTTTTCGCAAATCGAAAATTATTCTTTTGCTTTTTATAAACACTAGAAGAAGAAGGAAAAAATAGAAAAGAAAAAATAGAAAAGAAAAAGAAAAACGAAACTATTCCAAAGATTCTTATATCGAGAAAAAAGAAAGCAGGAAAAACAAAAAATAATAAAACCGTCATAGCCTAAACGTTGGAACGTATTAGATTTGATCGATCAATTTTTAGAGGTCCAAAAATTTCCTTCACTTTTTTCTTTTTTTTTTTTTTTTACGAATGAAAGAAAAAGAGGAAATATTTTAGAAAGTCTTATGTAAGAAGAACAAAAAAAGAAAAAATAATAAAATAAGAAAGAAAGAACGAAAATCGCATCTATCGTAATATTACGGTAAGCCTTCTTTCTTTTTTTCTTTTTTATCGTTTAAATCGAAAGACCATGACGATTGAACCAACATCGATCACGGCCTCGTTGGAAATCACGTAGCAAAGCTGGTCATTGTTGTCTTCGTTGGTTCGAACGAATAAGTGCACTCACACTGCCGATTTTCAGGAATGACGTTCGCCATTTGCTTTGAAAGAGAAAAGAGAAGAGTAAAAGAGAAAGACAATGAAAAAGAGGGACAGAGAAAGAGGAAGAAAAGAAGAGAGGGAGGGAGGGAGAGAGAGAGAGAGAGAGAGAAAGAGAGAGAGAGAGAGGAAGAAAAAGGAACGATTTTCTAGCGTTCGGTACATTTTCCGAGCTTACGGTTTCACCGACAACTCACGATGAACTCATCTAACGTACGAAATTATACTGCTTCGCGTCCATTGTCCGAGAAACCTACTCTCCTTTCTCTCTACATCACTGAGTTCTTGCGCTCGCAGAATCGTAACGCGTTCTTACACATACGCTCGCATAAGTACGTACCTACATATGTACACATACGATAATAATTAGAATCTGTTTTTTCTCGGTTATGTTATTCGTCCATATTTAAATCAATATATAAAAAGGCAACGGGATAATATGAGAGATAAGTACATAAAGAGAGAGAGAGAGAGAGAGAGAGAGAGAGAGAGAGAGAGAGAGAGAGAGAGAGATTGTATCGTAAAAAAGGAAATTTTATATAAACAAAAAAAAAAAAGTAGACGCAAATCTGTACTTAAAAGGATAAAAGAAATTAAAAATAAAATTCGTCAGATTATTGGATGAAAATTGACGGGGTTAATGATTTAAGCACGAAAACGAACACGGTCACAATTAATCAGAGAAAAATATTTATGAATGATACGAAATGAGATCAAAAGAATGGTACAAAATGAGAGAACCCGATTAGAGGTAAAATTCGTAAGATTATCCGGACAAAATAATTAAGTTTAATAATTAAATTAGGTTTAATAATAAAATAATAAAAGAAGAAAAATGTTTTTCAGTACTAAAACATCGAATTTGTAAAACGATATACATATAAAACTAACAAATTATACAAAGAAATAGATGTGGAATGATCTCGATCAAGACGTAGCGCAGAGGCAAAAAAAATGAGAATGTATATGTTGTATCAAGATAATTAACGAGTATCGATAACTCATACATACTAAAGAGTGAGTATCTCGATAACTCACGAATGAACGAACAAATATGGTCCAGTTAAAGGTTTATAATCCTATTAAACTGGCGCATAAAAAAATTCCAAACAGAATTATTCATTCGTCCGTTCGTTCGTCCGATTTGCTCTTTAAAATTTTCTTTGATAAATAGAAAAGATATTCGGATTATTCTCTTCATTCTCATCCTACTCATTATTAGATTAGATCGACCAATAACTATTCTGCTTTATCTTTGAAACTTAATATTGGAATTAGATAAAATCGATTAATTTAATCGATTAACAGGTATCTAAAATTCGTATTTAATAAAGTTTAAATTATCGTGTCTAATTAATGAATTGATTTCATTTCAAATATATTAAAACAAGACATGAAATTAATCTCTTGCATGATAAACATCATTGTCAACAATAATAATAATAATAATAATAATAATAATAATAATAATAATAATAATAATAATAATAATAATAATAATAATAATAATAACAATAATAACAACAACAACAACAACAATAATACTAACAATAATAATAACGATACAAGACATAAGATTAAAGATCGGAAACGTTTAATGGATTATTTTCTTCTCCCGAGCATTCATGTTATCCCACATGGGAATACTAATTCGGTGAATTACCGAAATCGTGTTTAGGCGCGGCTCCCATGCATCTGGGGCTGTTGGTTGCGGTGGTTAATGCGTTTCACAGGACACCCATGGGACCGATGCTTGCGTTCGTCAAAATTCGAAACAGGAAATTCATTTCAGTGCATACTTTTGCGGTATACCTTTATTACTAACGTGATTCGTCAGTGATTTCGAATGAATAAATATATATACATATATTACGAATAATATAATTACCCTTAATATATATATATATATATACCACATATTATCATTGTTTTTTGTTAATATCTTTTCAATTCCTTACGATAATATTGAATATAAAAAAAAAAATACTATAGTTATTTATCAATCCTATAATTCCGTGTAATTAAAATTAAGACAAAGATATATATATATATTTTTTTTTTTAATAAATAATGCATTCATCCGGTGGAACAAAATATTCGAAAAAGTGCTATTACGCGTGTATGGAAACGTAATATGCGTTTAATTAATCAATTCCTACACTAATACATCAACGAACGTACCAAGGACGGTGCCAGTATATGAATGTGAAGCGTCGAATGGTATAGAGCCATGAGTGCCTTCGAACGTTACGTCCTTACTGAAGATAGTGTCGTCGCGAATCAATCGTATTGTCCACGATCTGCAAAAAAAAAAAAAAGAAAAACAATAATTTCTCAAAGGAATAAATAAGTAGGTAACAAAACGTTTGAGAAATCACATATCATACACATTTTATATAAAAAAATAAAAAAAATAAAAAAAAATAAAAAATAAAAAGAAATAATAAAAAAGGGAGAAATAAAAATCTGTATACCAAATATTATACGTATATCCTTGTATACTATAGACAAGGGATTTAAATTTCGAGAATCATTAAAATCCTTGAAGAGAGAAAATAATATCCTTTGAAAAATCGTCGAAGCGTATTAGTTGTTAAATTAGGCGTTGATTTTCCAACGTTTAAACGTACTTCACTCGTTAAAAACCGGAAAAGGAAGAACCAAAAGCAGCTCGGGTCACAAGGACGACAGGAGAAGTAGAAAAAGAGAGAGAGAGAGAGAGAAAGAGAGAGAAAGAGAAAGAGAGAGAGAGAGAGAGAAAGAAAGAGAAAGAAGGGAAGACCAAACTGAGAGAGACAGAGGGAGAAGGAAGAGAGGAAGGAGAAGGGTGAGGAAAGGTTTTACCCTTTCAAATTTTGCCATCGCGAGTTAATTTGCATAAGAGCGGTACGACCGCGAGAGCCAATTAATAATCGACCTGCTCCACCTTCTCTCTCTCTCTCTTTCTCTCTCTCTATTTCTATCTTTCTTTCTTCTTCGTAATAACAATAATAATCTCAGCGTGTACTCGTGGTATTCCTACAAAAAGTCGGTAATCCGATAATACGTTGGCGAAGGAAGCCAGCGTGTCGACGAGACAAGACAGAGAGAAAGAGAGAGAAATAGAGAGAGAGAGAGAGAGAGAGAGAGAGAGAGAGAGAGAGAGAGAGAGAGAGAGAGAGAGAGAGAGAGAGAGACAGATAGATAGATAGATAGATAGATAGATAGATAGATAGAGAGAGAAAGAAAGAGAGAGAGAGAGAGAGAGAGAGAGAGAGAGAGGGAAAGAGAGAGAGAGAAGACAAGAAGCTTCATCGTCACTTAACCATTTTGCCTCCTTCTGCGAAAGATTATGAATTTCGCATAGATATGGGATATAACTTTGAACTCTGTCACTATGGCATATAACTCAGACATTCTCTTTCTTTCTTACATTCTTGAAGAATATATTAACTGGAGTCAATGTACGAACTGACTTTTGGTAAATCGGATGCGTTTAATAAAGAATTTCTTATTCTATTTTTCCTTCTCTCTTTCTCTTTTTCTGTATGATATATAAATCTCTAAGGGAGTTATTCGGGATATAACAAACAGGAAAAAAATATATTGTAGGTACACATTTGTAAGAAGATTTTATGGAGAGCTTATATATATATATATAATATAAGATCTTAACTACAATAAAAATCAAATAAATTATGATCTCTACGTGTCTTTATATCTTTTTCCTTTTTTAATTTTTAATTTTTAATCTTTTCTTTTCTATCTTTCTTTTTTATCTTTATCTTCCTTTAACATCGGTAAATGATTATACAATATGTTAAAAGTTCTTAAGCGGGATCAAATGTTCCTAAATGATTTTAAAAATCAATCGCTTCACTCTTCGTGATTTTTTTTTTTAAACCAATTTTCTTTTTTCTCTTCCTTTTTTTCCGTTGAGATTGTAAAAAACGAAATGTTTCTAGGCTTGTAGTTTTTATGTGAATAAAAAAAAAAAAAAAAAAAAAAAAAAAATTAATCTTAAGAAAGGAAGTCTCGGCAAAAGCTTAATTGATTTTTAAAATCAACCAGAAACTTATGATCCAACCTGTACGAATTCTAATCTCGTACAATAATTTATAATTACAGTATTGAATTATAATAAATTTAGCGAAGAGGCGCAGAGATATAAAAGTCAAAATTAATTACTATCCTTTTACCTTTTTACTTCTATTCTTTTTTATCCTACGTAGATACATATATATATATCATCTTTTCGTTCGTTTCGTATTCGACTCATAGATCTCGATAACACATTAACGCGAGTCTCGTTCGTAATTGTCGCTAATTGGTTTCGCCTTTGAGAGATCTATCGAGCGAAAGAAAAGAAAGGAAGGAAAAAAAAAAGGAAAAGGAAATGGAAAAGAAAAAGAAAAAGAAATAAAGGAAGAAAGAAAAGGACAAGATATCGTTCGTATACCGCTTGCAAATCGTATAAAAACTGAGCTTCGTTTGCGGAATTTAATAAATGCTTTTGTTGATCGTCGATAATGCAGCCATTGAAGAAATAAAATGAAATAATAAAAAAAAAGGTAAATAAATCGAAAGAAAAAATGTAAAGAAGTTTCTTCTTTATATTTTATACTGAAAAACAATCGAAGTTTTGTTTAACTTTTGAAAATCTAATATTCACCAAGTGATATACCATTATGTCCGACATACCAATATTAATCGTATTATCGTTCACATCGACAGGATATACCTAAAAATGGTGTTTCTTAAATTGTAACCTTTAGGAAATCAATTTAACGAATCGTTAGAGAGAACGTATACTATTTAAACGAAATAGACTAGAAAATATATCCCGCAGGAATTCATTCGGAATAATCACGAGTTTAAGTTGTTGCAATCAATATTGCAACGGGGCAATATCGGTAAGCTTTTTTTATCAATTACCATTAAAACAAAGAATGTCGTTTCATTCCGTTGAATTATATTTCGAATCTCATAAATATATACTCTAGATCCTAATTGTAATTGCGATTCTAATTCAATTCAAGTTAAAAAAAATAAAAATAAAAATAAAAATAAAAATAAAAATAAAAATAAAAATAAAAATAAAAATAAAAATAAAAAAAAGAATTAATAATTTGTTGTATCAAAAATACAAATAAATCAATGGACAAAACAAATAAGTAAGTTGCCAATGGTAAACTTTAATTATTTTATAAAATGACAAATCAATTAAATTAATTAATAATTAATTTTATTACTTGATAAATTAACCAGACTATAAATATGTATATATGTATATATTTTTTTATCTATGTAAAAAAATAAATATATATGTGTGTGTGTGTGTATACAATATATGTATCTACAATAAGACAGTTAAGTGTATATACAATACAATATGTATTTCTATATTTCTACTGTAAGAAACGAATACTTAAGTTCTCCTACTGTATACGTATGTATATATGTATGTAAATATATATAATAAATGATAATGAAAAACATATTTCTTTTTTTTAGTAAAATGATACGATAGAATAGATACAATGAATAAATCGAATTCCATCTATTTTTGGAATTGTGATAAAACCGATAGAGTTATCAATACCAGAAGAACTTTTAAAAAAGCTCATAGCATCCCTCTCTCTCTCTCTCTCTCTCTCTCCCCTCTCTCTCTCTTTTTCTTTTTCAACTCCGATCGAGTTATTCCGTTTATAGAACGTTGTCGTGCGTTGCTAGCATTCAACCTGTGCCCACGTATGAGAAAACTGGATTCACATGGTCCGAGGTGCGCCGAGAGTTCGCAACCTATTCAAAAGTAAGTCTCGAGAGCGCACGGTATGCAATCCCGCACGTTTATGTTAGAACGCGACAAAAGGCATTTCGTGACCGACAAGGAAAAAGAGAGAGAAAGAGAGAGAGAGAGAAAGAGAGAGAGAGAGAAAGAGAGAGAGTGTGTGTGTGTGTGAGAAAGAGAGATAGAAGGAGAAGAAAATCTCCATGAAATTTCCTTTCGAAAAGAAAAGAGAACGACAAACGAAGTAATTTAAACACTCTTTCTACATTCTTTCCTTCTCTCTCTCTCTCTCTCTCTCTCTCTCTCTCTCTCTCTCTCTCTCTCTCTCTCTCTCTCTCTCTCTCTCTCTCTCTCTTTCTCTCTCTCTCTCTTTGACTTTTTACGGATGAAGTACTTCTATTACGAGATTCGTGATATACAAGATAATCCTTGGTATACGTAAGCAATTATCTTTACAATGGGTAGTAAAAAAAAAATTTAATGTATGGTGTAGATGGAAGGTCTTCAAGAGGATCACTTATGACGACATTGTCGTCAGTGAGAAAGAAAAAGAGAAGAAAAAAAAAAAGAAACACAGCAGAGAGAGAGAGGGGGGGTGAGAGAGAGAGAGAGAGATGTAGGAAACATCCTACTAAAGTTCTACTACACGAACGACGACAAAGACGACGATGGAGAAAGAGAAAGAGAAAGAGAGATAGAGAGAGAGAGGGAAAGAGAAAGAGATAGATAGTCTTGGCTACCCACCTACTACTGTTTTACATTTTATTGCTCACCGTGGATTCAAGCGATTTACATAAAGAGAGACGAACGTTGTAGTTACACCGAGCGTCGAAAGCTAATATGTGAGAGAGAGAAAGAGAGAGAGAAATAATTCTTTCTCGGAAGACGAGTATCGTTCCAAACCGAGAGACATTTTTCGCAAGTCGAGACGAGTCGAAACGAGTCGAGACGAGTCGAAAGGGGTAGAGATTGGAAAGATAAAGAGGGGTGATATGGGTGGCTGGATAGGTTAGTAGTGGAGGGAGCCAGAGGAGAAGGGGGTAGTAGTAGTAGTAGAATAGCGGTAGAGAAAACGAAGGTGGTAGAAAATTCTTAAAGAACGAGATAGTGTGTTAGGCGTGCAACCGATCGACAATGACAGGAAGCGCAAATAAAAGGCGTATTGTGCAAATCAGATCGAACCTATCACGATCTAGGGATCACCCAACAAGCTAGCAAGCAAACAAGCAGAAAAATATATCCGAATATTTTCGTCCTCCTGTCACGTATGGTTCCGCATCGAGCATGGCAAACAACGCGCGCAACCCAAACGCGAAGGGTGACGTTATCGCTTCGTTGAAATACTAAGCTTCTATTTTCCGTGAATATCGTCAAGCGGAAATATGACTCTACACGTTCTCCATCGACCTTTTCTCTCCTCCCTAAACCCCCTCCTGCCATCTCTCTTTCTTTCTTCATCACGATCTTGTTGAGATCAATCCGATAAATATTAGCGGATATTAAATCTTTCTGTCATACTTGGATTTTTTTTTAACTCAAGAAATATAGAAAATATTATTTATATTGAATATACATAAATATCTGTTAAATATAAATAAATTTCTATTCAATCTGTTCTTGTTTTTCCCTTCTTACGTTGAAAATATTATATTGTTTAATCTTTTATGATTTTATGTAATAATTACTATGTAATATACGCGCGCGCGTATGTACATACACACACACACACACCAAAGCACGCGCACGTATTTTTTAACTTCATCGCTTAATGAACTTAATTGTTGATTCGAAATGAATGGTATCTTTAAGAATTATGTAAGTATGTTTATATAAATATAAATATAAATATAAATATATATATATATATATATATGTATATATATATATGCACTATAATTCTCATGTTATATAATTTTGACGTTAAACACCAAAGAAGGAATTTATTCGACAGACTATTGGTTAATTATATATACCAAAATTAGATAAAATAGCTTTTGATATGTCGAATTAGAAACGTACACACGGTTTAATCGAATCGAATTTGTTCGATTTACTCCTCCTCTTCCTTCTCCTCTTCTTCCTCCTATTATCCTCCTACTTTCGGTAGACCGATACCCGTCGATAGATTATTCCTACGATCGTAGAAATACCTTCCCTCCGTGAGGTCTAATTGCTTCCTTTGAAATCAGGAATCACGGAGATCGACTTAACGTAGAAGTTTGTTTGGAACTCCATCCTTCCTTGGATCGGCCACAAATCAAGTAGTAGATATCTTCGTCTAACGAAAGATATATATATATATATATATATATATATATATATATATATATATATAGCTACTACCATCCGTTCTAACTAAACAGCTCATATTATAGATATCTAATGCGAACTACAAATATCATCCCTCTATAAATATTAAACAATGTATAAATCCGAGAGGCTGGTAGTGGTAATAGGGATGGGGGGAGAATAGGGAAGTTGATCATCCTACGATCCATTAAAATTTAACATCAGAAAAAGAGAAAAAAAAAAGCAGAAGAAAAAAGATATCGATTTATTTTATATACGGATGCAGCACTACGCACAGGTAATCACCCATAGCGTGATTGACGTAATCACATAAATCATGTGTCTTATACATAAATCATTAGATAATATAATAAGAGGATATTTCAATCTTAATGCTTTCTATTCCCGAAGAAGATAAATATTTCTATCTAGAATAATCTATAAATCTTAATGATTTCAAAAGATAATCACACATACACACACACACACTCTCTCTCAACTTTGTGTATTTCAAGATCGTTCAATGAATCGAAAAGAAGAAAAAAAGAAGAAGAAAGGGAGAGAAAGAGAGAAAGTAATAATAGAAATACAAGTCGTGCTTGTTAGTTACTATAATATAACGATCTTCGAGAAAGAAACGAGAAAGACCTTCTCTTTAGACTTTCACCCTCCCAATACGAACAATAGCACCGCACACTGTTCGTTAATCCGTAGACGATATCTATAATATCCACCACAACGAGGAAATGTAACGCATTTTATACGAACGTGGCCTTAATTGGATCCCTGCTTACTGACCTGTCAAGGATACACCTGACGGGTATAATACCTTACGCGTTGATGACCTTGCATAGTTCTTTCTTCACTCCCCCCCTCTCTCTTTTTATACTCTAAATCGCGTTACTTTTATTAAATTTCACGTCGAGGTCAGCTTTATCTTTATCTTCGAGACATTTCTTTCCGAAATAGCTTTGTTGTAGTACGTATACTAACAACGTGATATTAACAATACAAAAATATTGACAAGTTTTTGAAAAAGAAAATATTATTTATCATTGATTATATCTCCCCATGAAACGTACCTATCCAATGCTTTCAAGCGTAAAAGTAGAGGTTGATTTTTCGATAGAATCGGAAACGTCGCGACGCGTCCTGTCACGATGACGTCTCAATGCCACCGTGTCATAAGATGCTGGCTCGTAGTATCTGATGTATGATCTACGTGTTATCCCTGAAACATATGTAAAGTATCGTTCTATTAAATAACGGATAAGTAAAATAAAAAAACAAAAAAAAGAAAACGTAGATAGAACAACAC